ATTTGCCATTTTAGAGATTATAAATATATACAATTTATAGTTTTTTTTTAAATACATAAAGTACAAAAAGATATACAAACAGCACAAAAAGTATAATTATTTGGCACTGTATTAGTATTAAATATAGGTTTACAACATTTAATTATCGAAAATCTCATGAATGTACCTGACATCCTGTCTGAAGCAAAGTAGTGCTCAATAACTTCATACTGTAGGTCAACAGTAGGGACGTTTTCAGGGTGAGTTACTGCCACAGTCAACAGAATACCCATCAACAGGTTCACCACCTTCGGAGAGAGATTATATTAGTAAAAATGTACAGATGAGACAGTAGATATAATATTTAAACAGCCTAATAAAACCAAAAGTCTGATCATTCACTATGTCATGTGACTTCCTGGGCATTTTATTGCACTTCAAAACAAAAAGAGATCAAGGTCTTAAAGGGGTCATATGATGCGATTTCAAGTTTTCCTTTCTCTTTGGAGTGTTACAAGCTGATTGTGCATAGATAAGATCCCTGAAGTTGCAAAGACTAAAGTCTCAAAACCAAAGAGATATTCTTTATCAAAGTTAAGACTCTGCCACGCCCCCCTAAAACGGCTCGTTCTAACACGCCCCCACATATCTACCTCACTATGTGGAAATATTAGCATAATGCCGCCCAAATGTGCACGCAAAGAAAGAAGGCGTGGTTTCAGTAACCGCAGTTAGTGTTGAAGCAGCATGTCAGGGAGACGCTGTGTGTTTCAGTGCGAAAGCAAGCATCATATGACCCCTTTAAAACATTTGCTTCAAAATCTTTACTTAGAAAATATAATTCAAAATGTGAAATAATCAGCTAAAATTAAAACCAGTCAATCTTAAATGGAAACATCTGGTCTTGTTTTCTGGAAACAACCAGGGCTGCGTTTCCCAAAAGCATCGCAAGCCTGAGTTGATCGTGGCTCCATTGGTTTCAATGGCTCTGCGATGTACTTAAGCTTACGATGCTTTTGGGAAGCGCAGTCCAGGTCCAGACTTTGCCATATAATTATTTACAATTGCATTTACCACTGATAGTTAAAAACAGATTAGTTGATACTGCCAGTGCCATTTTATCCAAAAGTATTCATAAACCTTGCCAAGCCACACTTAATGATCGTTTATTATTTGAGTTTTATTTGTTTAAAATCTAGTTGACACCCTAATTACTACTATATACAGTTATTAATTAAAACAAAGTTACCCTGTAATATATAATAATAGCCATTTAATTCTAAATAATTTACTTTGTCTAAACATACTTCGTGCAAATTGATAACGAATTGAACTTTAACCCCATGAAAGTTTGGTGAACTCAACCTCCGGCCTCAGTTAGCGGTCTACAAATATACGCTTAAAAATAATCGCCACATCATATTATACTACTTCAATAAACAGATAAGGTTCTTAAATCGTGTTTAATCAACATTTAGCACGTCTAAACACGTTTGCGTGTCTTATTTGTTGATAGTTCCAATTCAAAACATTGTGTTAGCTTAGCGGTGGCTAGCATCGCGCTAACACGGCAGAGCCAGCCAAAAACATTCACACAGACGTAGTTTAAAACACAGACACGCCTCTAAACGACGGGAGGAAAGGATATTGATGTATTCAATTTATGTGTAAAACTACAAGACTATGTTTAATGAATGTTTCGCGCCTCGTACCATGTACCAGGTGCCCAGGATGATGGTTCCAGTCCGCACGTGACAGCAGCCGCAGCAGCGCGCGCTGTACATTCGGTCCCGAGACGGTTTAAAACGCATGTCGTTCTCGGTGCTTTGAAGAAACATCGAAAAAAAGAGACGAGACGAGTCTCTCCTGTCAAAAACAGCAGCTACAATCGCAGCGCTCGATCTTTCGGGCAAAACTCCCCTTGATGGATGAGAAACAATGGGGGCGTGGTTAAAGCTAAATCATAGCGACTCGTTCTTTTGAGTCGGATCTTTTTAATGCATCGGTTGAACCGGCTCACAAATTTGAAGTGGTCCGAGCAATTCATTCAGGAAACATATTGAATGAATCGTTCACGAATCAATCTGAACGGTTTTTACGGATCATCAGAATGTTGAACTGATAGGGTGAAACGTACAGTAAAATATATTATAAATTAAATATACATATATAATTCATTTAGAACCGACTCGTGGAAAGGAATCACTAACCCATCACTACTGAATCATACGTGGAAAATGGGACGTGGTCAGAGTTTAATCACGCGTGGCTGCGCTTATATTTATTACTGCATTGGTGGGTTCTTAGTTTTAAGGAGAGCTCGCACAGGAGGAGGAGGATGTGCATGAGCTCACCCAGCTGTAGACAGACGCATGGAAGTTAAGGCTGGATGCTTTTCTCGGAAAAGCTTTTATGGAGTTTGAAGAGCTGTTATATAATAGATAAGATGCTGGAAATTATGCAAGAAATCAGGTGATTTATCAGAAATAGACAGTGGCAGCTTGTAAATATATGCTAACAGTAGGCCAATAATTTTACAGTATAGTGCTGTCTGATCTTGCAAAAGACAAATACCTTTTTCCCCCCTCTAGACAGTTTTATACACCTATACACTCTAAAAAATGCTGGGTAAAATAGGGACAAACCCAGCGATTGGATTGTTTTGACCCAGCGGTTGGGTTACTACCCAGAAGGTTGGGTTAAACATTAAACATTTAACCCAACCGCTGGGTCAAAACAACCCAATTGCTGGGTTTGTCCCTATTTTACCCAGCACTGGGTTGTATTTAACCCAGCATTTTTTAGAGTGTACTGGTGAATATAGCAAATAATATAAAATGTGGACTTATTTGACTAAGTTATGGTTTTTATAATCTTAAAAACCGTTTGATATTTTTTGTCAATTAATTGACAAAATTAACAAATTATTAATATATTGTATATTAACAATACGTGTGTGTATTAAGTATATAATAGCACATACACACACACACACACACACACACACACACACACACACACACACACACACACACACACAGTGGTGTGAACAAGTTCTTGCCTCCTTTCTGTTTTTTTTGCATAGGTCACACTTGAATGATTCAGATCAATCAAATAAACTTTAATATTACACAAAGATAACCCAAATAAAAACAAAATGCACTTTTGAAATAATTATTTCATTTATTAAGGGAAAAAATATTTTTAAATCTGCCTGGCACTATGCGAAAAAGTAATTGCCCCCTAAATCTAATAACTGGTTGAGCCACGCTTTGCAGCAACAACTGCAATCAAGTGTTTGTGAAAGACTCATTGCCAGTTATCGCATCGCTGTGGAGGAATTTTGGCCCACTCTTCTTTGCAGAATTGTTTTAATTCATCCACATTGGAAGGTTTTCGAGCATGAATGGACTGTTTAAGGTCATGCCACAGCATCTCAATCGGATTTAAGTCCGGACTTTGACTTGGCCACTCCAAAACCTTAATTTTGTTTTTCTTGAGCCATTCAGAGGTGGACTTGCTGGTGTGTTTTGGATCATTGTCCTGCTGCATAACCCAAGAGCGCTTCAGCTTGAGGTCACAAACTGATGGCTGGACATTCTCCTTCAGGATTTTCTGATAGAGTGCAGAATTCATGGTTCTGTCAATTATGGCAAGTCGTCCAGGTCCTGAAGCTGCAAAGCAGCCCCAGACCATCACACTACCACCACCATGTTTGACTGTTGGTATGATGTTCTTTTTATGAAATGTTGTGTTGGTTTTACGGCAGATGTAACGGGACACACACCTTCCAAAGAGTTAAACTTTTGTTGTATCAGTCCGCAGAATATTTGCCCAAAAGTCTTGGGGATAATCAAGATATTTTTTTGGCAAATGAGAGACGAGCCTTTGTGTTCTTTTTGGTCAGCAATGGCTTTTGCCTAGGAACTCTCCCATGGATGCCGTTGTTGCCCAGTCTCTTTTGTTGAATCATGAACACTGACCTTAACTGAGGCAAGTGAGGCCTGCAGTTCTTTAGATGTTGTTCTGGGTTCTTTTATGACCTCTTGGATGAGTCGTCGTTGTGCTCTTGGAGTAATTTTGGTCGGCCGGCAACTCCTGGGAAGGTTCACCATTGTTCCAAGTTTTCTCAATTTGTGGATAATGGCTCTGACCATGGTTCGCTGGAGTCCCAAAGCCTTAGAAATGGCTTTATAACCCTTTCCAGACTGATGCATGTCACCTATTTTGATTCTCATCTGTTCTTGAATTTCTTTAGATCACGGCATGATGTATTGCTCTTTAAGCATGCTTCACTTTGTCAGACAGGCTCTATTTAAGTGATTTCTTGATTCAACAGGTCTGGCAGTAATCAGGCCTGGGTGTTGCTAGTGAAAGTTAACTCAGCTTTCTAAAATAATGTGGTTAATTGCAGTTCTTTCATGATTTAACAGGAGGGGGCAATTCATTTTTCAAGTAGGGCCAGGTAGATTTGGACAGTTTTTTTTCGTTAATAAATTAAATCATCATTTAAAAACGGCATTTTGTATTTACTTGCATTATCTTTGTGTAATATAAACATTTGTTTGGTGATCTGAATCTTTTAAGTGTGACAAATATGCAAAAAATAAAAAAAAACAGGAAGGGG